TATCAGATTTTCTTTTTGTTTATATTCTCCATTTTGAGGACATAAATTTTCCTTATATTCTTAAACCTTTTTCCTCCATAGCTACTTTTTTCCAGACTTATTGAGGTATAATTGATAAATAAAAATTGTGTATATTAATATTTAAGGTGTACAACTCGATGTTTTGATATACACACACATTATAAAATGATTGCCACAATGTAGTTAACTGACATATCCATCACCTCACATACTTATTTTTTTGTGATGAGAAGACTTAAAATCTACTCTCTTAGCAAAGTTCAAATGTGTAATACATTATTAAGGATAGTACCATGCTGTACATTAGGTATCCAGAACTTATTCATTTTATAACTGAAAATTTGTACTCTTTGGCTAATATCTTCCCTTTTCTCCCATCCCCAGTCCCTGATAACCACCTTTATATTCTGTTTCTATGTATTCAACTTTTTTCGATTGGTTGGTCTCCTTTTCAATCACAAGGTAGGCATATCCTGAAATAAAGAACTCCATTTAAAAAAAATACATGTATAAATGAGATCATACAGTATTTCTTTCTGTGACTGGCTTGTTTCACTTGGCATAATGTCATCTGAATTCGTCCATGTTGTCACAAGTGTCACGATTTCCTTCTTTATTGTGGCTGAATAATATTCCATTTCATATGTATTTTCTTCCTTAACCTGTCGATGGACACTTAGGTGGTTTCTGTATCTTCACTATTGTGAATAACATTGCAATGGACAGGTGATTACAGATATCTCTTCAAGATAGTGATTTTATTTCCTATGGACATATACCCAGAAGTAGAATTTCTGAATCATGTGATAGTTCTATTTTTAATTTTGCTGAACCTCCACACTGTTTTCCATAACAACTGTACCAATTTACATTCCTACCAAGAGTGTACGAGGGTGTTCCTTTTTCTCCACATCCTTGCCAAAACTTATCTTTTGTCTTTTAGATAATATCCATCCTAACAGGTATAAGGTGATAATTGCCTTGTAGTTTTATTTTTGCATTTCCCTGATTAGTGATGTTGAGCACCTTTTCATATTTCTTTGGCCATTTGTATGTCATCTTTGAAAAAATATCTATTCAATTTCTTTGCCCACATCTTAATCAAGTTATTTGGTGTCTTGCTAATTGACTTTCTTCTATACTTTGGATATTAACTCCTTCTCAGATGTATGATTTGTAAACACTTTCTCCCCCTCCATGATTGTCCTTTCATTTTGTTGATTGTTTCCTTTGCTATGCAGAAACCTTCTAGTTTGATGTAGTCCCATTTGTCTATCTTTGCTTTTGTTGCCTGTGCTTTTGGTGTTATAATACATCCAAAAAATCATTGCCGCCACCAATGTCATGGAGCTTTCCTCCTATGTTTTCTTCTAGCTCAGTGTCCTTAAAATATCTATTTTAATTTCTTTGTCAGGCAATTCATGGATCTCCGTTTCTTTGGGGGTTGGGCACTGGAAGTTTATTGTATTCCTGTGTTTTCCTGATCCTTTATGATCCCTCTAATCTTGCACAAATGTCTACACATTTGGAGAAGTAGTCATCTCTCCCAGACTTTATGGATTGGCTTTGGTAAGGAAAGACTTTAACCTGTGTACGGGGGGTGGCAGTAGGGAGGTTTGCTAGAGTGTGCTGTGACACCTGGCACCAAGTGTGAGGAGGTATGCAGTGTCTCTGGGTCCAAGAAGTATGGTGCCTCATTGGCTTAGGTAGCTGGGGTCCACAACATCCACAACTGCCTAGTCCTTGGCAGTGGGAGCTGTAGGCAGTCCTCAGTAGTAAGGGACTAGGGCTGGAGATGGTGAGGGCTTGGGTGGTAGTGTATGTGTCACATGACTGCAGGGTCAAGCTACATGCTCAGGGTGGTGAGGGCTAAAGCTCTCTCAGACCTTTTCTATGGATATGCCCATTCCACACCTCTTGTTTCTTCTTGGGAGGCATTCTTAAGATTATTTGCCCTTTCTCCAACCTGCAAAAGCCAGGCTAAGTGCTCAAAACATTCTGTTTATTTTCCCTAGAAATGTTCGAGTTTGTGTGCCTTTGTCCGATCCTATTGGGTTGAACCAGCTGTCTTTGTGAGAAGCTCACACCACGCAGAGGTGCCCTTGGGGAGCAGGCCTGAGGTGTGGGGTGGGGTGAGATTCTGAGTGTTTGGGATGCCTGTGGACAAGTTGAGAGGAGGAGTCGTAAGTAGCTCATAGGCAGACTTCCTGATGGAGTCCTAGGAGAAGCTAATAGGATTTGTAGCATCTCTTCTCTGCATCCAGCCTTTCCCAACTACTCAGCAGTGCCAGATCACCTCAGTATTCTTGAAGTGGCAAGAAAAAAATGGATGTTTTGGGCAGAATCCCACATGGCTGGGGGAGTTACACACTCACTCATTATATTTTCACTTTCTCCCATGGAGGAAACTGTGGGCTAAGGGCCCTGGCCCTGAGTTATGCTGCCTTGAGGAAAGTTTGACTTGGGTGATGTGAAAACTTTCTTCTTATCCTGTTTAATGCGTTTATTCTTGAAATTTTTGCTCGAATAGTGTGCTGGAACTTCTCTGCTGGACTCCCACAAAGGTACTCTCATTCATAGGCAGTTGGCAAAATTGATACTTTCGTACTGGGTATATGGTAGAAACCTTGTATTCCACCACCTTGTTGACATCACTGCAGTCTCTTTTTCATAGCTGTTTTCTCAAATTTCCTTAGACATTTTCTTCTATATATATAATGTTTATTGTATATTTGTATATGTATATATATATAAAATGTTTGTTATAAAATTCTTACCTCTTAATTCCAAAAGCTAGGTCATACATGGGTATGCTTCCATTGAATTTTTTCTTTAAATTTTTATTTTTAACTGACAATAATTGTACATATTTTAGGGGTACAATGTGATGTTTTGATACGTTTACATTGTGTAATGACTAAATCAAGCTAATTAACAAATCCATCACCTCACATAGTTACATTTTTGTGTGTATGTATTAAACTAAAAAAGCTTGTGCACAGAAAAGGAAACAATTGAGTGAAGAGATAACCCATGGATTGGGAGAAAATACATGCAAACCATATGTCTGATAAGGGGCTAATATCCAAAATATATAAAGAAGTCAAAAACTCAATAGCAAGAAAACAAATAACCCAATCAAAAAATGGGCAAAGAACTTAAAGACTTCTTTTCTTCTTGATTAGGAATCATGGTATTCTACTGCTTTGAATCTCAACTTTTTAATTGTATGCCAAATATCACATATAAAAACAGTGAGAGAAAGAAGTGTTATTTCTCCCTGAAAGGACTTGTCCTTCTCTTTGCCAGGCTTCTTAGGCTGTTCAGATGTGCTAGATCAGGATCAAGCAGCCACTGTAGTCTTGGAGGTGGGATCAGGCCCATCTCCACTAGGAAAAGCTGTATCTATCACATTCCAGTCCCCTACACCAGCCCTGGTGCAGCTGTTAACAGCTAGCTGGTTTTTACTTATTCCATCAAAGTTCTTCTGCAGTGTCGGCTTGCCTCTTCCACCTGCCCTTACCTCGGGGATAAAAACATCTTTGGGTATCTGCTCACTAAGGAAGGATTTATTCCTTTCTAGCAGTTCATTTATTTAAATTCGTTTTTGCATCATAGCTGTATAGATTCATATATTTCTACGTGATATTTTCTTGTTACGATGGGAGTGCAAACTTATATATTCTCAGGAGAAGTGAAACTCCCTCTACGATAAAGAATTTTATCCCATATATCATTTCATTTACCTTAAGTAACTCATTTAATGGTTAGGATTTCAGTAGTGGTATGGAAAAACAAGAAGGAAGATGGGTGTGAAGTTAATTATTATAGTCAAAGATGTAATAGCTGCTTTAAGCCAAACATGTATCAGGAAACAGCCCCTGAACGCAAGAACCATTACCTAAGCGGGAAACTTGATGTGAAATGAAGCGTTATAGCTGAAGGCTATATAAAATCTGGATAGAGCTGGAACGCATTCTACTAAGTGAGGTATCCCAAGAATGGAAAGACAAGCACCACATGTACTCACCATCAAA